TGTATGGCATTTCGGCAGCGCGAGCCGTCCATACTGCCGCTTCTACAGCACCACACGCAGATTCACGCTGGAGCGGGTCGACGCCTTCCTATCATGCCACCGCTGAATGAGAATGCCCCTTCGGAACAGGCGGCCCCTGTCACACGGCCGCTTCCGCGCGACCTCTCTCAGCCAACTGCCTTCCTGAGGGATCGCGGTGGTCCTGGCTGCCCCCCCTCTGGGTCTCGGACCCCCCACACTGGGACCCGACGCCGCGCGCTGCTTTTTGACGAGCAGGGCCGGGCGACAAGCGCAGCCGCAAGCGCCCCGAAGAAGCGCCCGACTCAGTCGGGCACCTTGGGAAGCTGCGCGATACACCGCGCCGCCAGCGCCGCGAATTCGGATACGCTGCCCCCCGCGCAGCGCACGTCATGCAGCAGGAGCAGGGTTCGCCCCCGCGCCGGCAGCCGCTCCCTCCACCCTGGGCACGCAGACGCCGCGCGCTGCACGCTGGCGGGGGCAGCCTCAACTGCCCCCCTCCCCCCATCCCCCTTCTCTCGGCGCCGTGCCCGGAGGCCGCCACGGCAGTGAGGTCTCGACCGAGGACTTCGCAGGGGCCATGCCCTGAGGCCGCCACCCTTGCGAAAATCCACGGCGGATCTACAGCATCCCTTCCCCGGGGGCGCAACCTGCAGCAGGCACCCCGCCCGTCCTGCCCACGGCCGTGGGACAGGATGCGCTGTATGCGCTGAAGAGGACGGCATCGCGGTCCACGAGGTCCAGCCAAGCGAGCGCCCGTTTGCCTGTGGGGTTGATCCCGCTGCGGATGCGGGCCGCGCGGCTGAGTTGCTCCATCACCGCCAGGCCGCTCCGCTCGCCCCGGGCATGCCCTCGCCAAGTTCTCTGCGCGGCGGCTGTGGGCGCTGCGGACAAGGCGCGGCATGCACCCATGGTGCAGTTCCACCTGGTGCTGCGCTTCACCTCGCCGCCCCCTGCTGTCTTTGGAGGCGGCAACACAAGCGGCTGGTGGCCCGCGCCCGACTTCGCCCCGCGTTGCCGCTCTCGCGGCGGGACAACGCTGCGCTGGGGCCTAACGTGCCCGTCGCCGCGCCTCTGCAGGAGCCTGTGGGTGGAGCCCAAGCTCCTGAGAGGCTTCTCACAAGCTTCTCAGACGCGGAGGAAAACCTGCCATGGCTGCTCGTAGAGCTCTGCGGAGGCGTTTCACAGGCTCTTCAGAAGCTCTTGAAAGGCTTGCAAAAGGCTCCTCAGAGGCTCTTCGTAAGCTTCCCAGAAGTCCGTAATAGGCTTCGAAAAGGATCGTCAGAGGCGCTGAGATCCTCTGGAGGGTTCTTCAACGGCTCCAGAACGCAGACAACCACCACACCACAGAACCCCCCACTCCTCCCCTTCCCCCTCCTCCTCCCTCCTCCCCCCCCGTCCTCCTCCCCCCCTCCTACCCTATCCCCCTCCTCCCCCTCCCCCCCCTCCCCTCCGTCCTCCCCCCCCCCCCCCCCCCCCCCCCCCCCCCCCCACCCCCCCCCCCCTCCCCCCTCCTACCCCTCATCCCCCCCCCCCCCTCCCCTCCTCCCTCCTCCTCCCTCCTCCCCACTCCCCTCCTCTCCTCCTCCTCCTCCTCCTCCTCCTCGTTCCTCCTCCCCCCTCTTCCTCCTCATAGTTCCTCCTCCTCTCTACTCCTCCTCCTCGTCCTCCTCCTCCCCCTCTCCTACGAACGACGACGACCCGTTCCTTCGACGACCTGCCCTGCTCGGTCAGGAGGCGGCCGTCTGCTGCAGTAGTCGGCGGGCTGCGGGGTCGCGCCAGGGGGGGGGGAAGCCAGGATGGCGAGGGAGGGAAGGTATGGGAGGGCTGACGGGGGAGGTAGCTAGTGCAGGGGGGGGGGGGGGGAGAAGGGCGAGGGGAGGGCGAGTGGGGGGGACGGGGGGGGGGAGGGCGGGAGGAGGGGAGGGGAGGTTTGCAGGGAGAGGGGGAGGGGGAGAAGGGCGAGGGGGAGGGCGAGGGCGAGGGGAGAGGGGGGGGGGAGGGAGGGAGGGCGAGGAGGAGAGGGAGGGGAGGTAGTGCAGGGGGGGGGGGAGGGGGAGAAGGGGAGGGGGAGGGGTTTAGGGGGAGGGCGAGGGGGAGGCCGAGGGGGCGGGGAGGGGGGGAGGAAAGGGGGGGAGGGGAGCGAGGAGGAAGGTGGAGGGGAGGTAGTGCAGGGGGGAGGGGGAGGGGGGAAAAGGCGGGAGAGGGGAGGCGAGGGGGAGGCGAGGGGGAGGGAGGAAGGGGGGGGAGGGCGAGGAGGAGGTGGAGGGGAGGTAGTGCAGGGGGAAGCGGAGGGGGAGAAGGGCAAGGGGGAGGGCGAGGGGGAGGGAGGGGGGAGGGCGAGGGGGAGGGGGAGTGGAGGTAGTGCAAGGGGAGGGGGAGGGGGGAGAAGGGGAGGGGGCAAGCCGGGTGCGCAAGCGTCTTATCCGACGTCCTGCCCCTCCCTCCCATCCCATTACCATGGCATAGATCGCCTCTCGACTCGCACAGTCGGCTGTCGTAGCAGGACAATGCTCCCGAGAGGGTGCGGGATGCATGGTACGGTAGAGGGAAGCAATTACTGGACACTCCCCCTCCCCCCAAACTCAACGTTGGCACGCGCGGGGGAGACTGCGGTCGAAGTGCGTCTCATCAGACCCACCGCCAACTTTGAACATTGGGGGGAGGGGGAGGCGTTGACGGCTAAATGTGGCATGAGTGTTCGCTAATGTGTTCCGAAGTCTGTAGTGCACGGCGTAGCGCGGCGTAGAAGAGCACAGCAGAGCGTGACATGTCATAGCATGGCGTGTCATTGCGTAGTGACGCATTGCCACGCAAAGCATGGCGCTGGTCGAAAACACGACTCCTTTAGAAAACAATTTCTAAGATAAATCAGCCATGACGTAGGACGAAACATGTAAATGGACGGGTCGGGGAGAGCGGTTGCGTTAAATGAGAGCCAACGCTGTAGCGGGAATACGATTTGGAAGATCCGCAACAAAAGTGAGGTTGGCGCTGCAGCGGGAGCACGCTTTGGAAGGATCGAGAGCCAAACACATGGAGCCAACGCTGCAGCGGGAGCGCCATTCTGGAAACACTGCCAACGCTAAGAGTTGACCAACAGATATGATCGACCACTTTGGGGGGATCCTATGTGCAAAAACACTACGCGGAGGGGGGCAGGTTACGACCACGGGGGTCGTCGGCGGAGGGAGAAGAATAGTATTCATACGGTGTACTTTGTAGTTGTGGAGGGGAGGGAGGGGAGAGGCGAGGGGGACTACACAGAGGATGACATGGAAAGGAGGAGGGAGGATGAGGGGGAAGAGGCGGGGAGGGAGGAGGGCAGGGACAGGATGGGGAGGGCGGAGGGGAGGACGAGGAGGGAAGGTAGGAGGAGAGGAGGGGCGCAGGACGACGAGGGGAGGAAGGAGGGGAGGAAGTGAGGAGTTCCGAGGGGAGGATGCGAGGGGGATAACCAAAGCGAAGGGAGATAGGGAAACGAGCTCTATACACCGACGCTTTTTTCGACCCTGCGCTGAAATTCGCACAGGAACGCGGATCCTGGTGTATGCGGGATCCTGGTCTATACATGTTTCGTTGTTTCCCTCGGAAAACGGAGGAGAAGTATACAACACACCACCCGACGTCGTCCCCGACCCTCAAAAGGTCCTGGGATTGAAAAACAGTCCGCCACTGGTAATGTATATGCTCCAGCTTCTGAAAAGAATAAGGGCCTTCAGATCCAAGCGCCCCAAGAAGATCGTGACACTCTGCTGTTCTATGTTTGCGACATCTGGGAATCGTTTCCTGGCCTTGGGACGGCCAAAGAAACGACTCGGGACGAAACGCAAAGCGCGGGGGAGGTCCACAACCGGCACACAACTGCCCAGGCCCGGACCTCCAACGCTTTGAGACATCAGAAACAAAACCGTTCGTCGTTCTGGGCTGAGGCCGGGCATGTCCCCCCACAGGCCGATTTTGGACGAGAAATGCTCAAAAATAGTCAAACATCGTCCCCAGACTATGTTTTGACTATTTTAGAATATTCCCCCTGTAGGGGACAAGCCCGACTTCATTCTGGGCGTCCGAAGCCCGCTTCTCGGGCTCCGGGGCCATCGACTGACACCCCGGCGGCAGCAGACGCGACAAAAACGCAAGGAGACATCCAATCCGCCGCCGGCTACAAGGCCAACGGGCTGCGAGGCGCAATGGAGATTAGGATGACGGACGAGGTGGAGGGGAGATGGGAGGAGCATGAGAATGAGGAGGGGAGGGGAGGGGACGAGGGGGCACTGGGGAGGGTGGACTCACGGCTTGCCAGACGGGGAGGCCCGTCGAAAACGAGGCACTGCTCATGGTCGACTGGCAAACAGAATCTGGCCCGATGTCAAACGCCATAAGACTTCTTCGCGCGGGCTGTCTGGAGATGATCGGCTGCGACCCCGTCTCTTCTAAGCGCCGCGTGCGCATCGCAAGCGCGGCGCGGATGCCGGATCGACCTGTCGGAGTCTCCGCGCAGAGCGCGCCCCCCCCCGAGGTCGCCAAGCCGCGCCTGTGCAGACGAGCTCCGGAGCAAACCGAGGGCAAAGCGCGCTGGTGCCAGACGGTCCATTCGCGGCTTCCCTAGAAAAGAGCTGGCTTGAACAAACCCAGAACATACGCAACTGCCACGGCATTGGCTGGAATGCGACTCCGACGCTGTACGGTCGGAGGCTCCACTCACTCCAGTCTCCACCAGCCGCTTCAGCAAAGCAGGGGCCAATCGACCGAGGTTGAATTCATATCCCGAATCCGCGCGAATTACGTGCGAGGACGTGGCCTCCCGGCCTATGCCCTGCAACGTGAGGTAAAAATACGTTCGCCGGAGTCGCCGCGCCTGTCCACGACCTCGTCGCAGCCTGGCATCTGGTCCTAGCTGCGTCCAGCGGTTTGGTCGGGCTCAGCGGCTCCGGGCATCCTTTCCTGACAGCGGAAGCCCACTGGTGCAGCAAGAGGCCCGTCGAGATCACCCATGGGTCCCCGCGGAAGCCGTTCTCGAACGCGTAGAGCCTGAGGCCCACCGTGGTACCGCGAGGGAAACGACCCAGGCTCCGACACGCGGCAACTAGCAGCCGATTCAGCTCAGACGGTGGCACTCCCATGACGCAGACTGCCCGCGACGCAGCTGCTGTCGGCCCAGTCTCGGGAGGGGAAAAAACACAGACACAATTAATCGTCGACTCTCAGGAAAATACGGGCACATAGTTATGGGAAGGGGGAGGAAGACGAACATCCAGAAAATGTGGGAAAATATCAGAGATCCTGGGATTTGTGTGCATCTGTTTGTGTCCTTGGGCCCCTTGACAGTCCTCGGAATCCAAGCAACATCTGCCCCTGCCTCCCGCGGACAGGCCAAACGCCCCGCGGCCCTGGCTGCTCCGGTCCACCGCGCACGGGTCACACCCGCGCGACGAACGCCACCTGGCGACGCATCCGTGTCGAGATTACGCTCTGCGTCGACTCTACTCGAGGCTGGGAGGGCCCATCGTCCACGCAACCCCCGAAGGAGGAGGGGGAGGAGGAGGAGGAGGAGGAGGAGGAGGAGGAGGAGGAGGAGGAGGAGGAGGAGGAGGAGGAGGAGGAGGAGGAGGAGCACGGAGGAGGAGGAGGAGGAGGAGGGGAGGAGGAGGGGGAGGAGGAGGGGAGGAGGAGGAGGAGGAGGAGGAGGAGGAGGGGACCAGCTCCGTGCTGATCGCCAATAACTTTCACTGCGTTAAAAAATAATGGGGAGGCCGAGCTCCCGGAAGTGCCCGAAGAGGCCCTCGACCGCCGACGGGAGCTGGCGAACGACCACCTGATGCGGTCCGAAGCACTGGAGGGCCACGGCGTCGACGACGTTCCTACCCCGCATCTGCGGACGGCCCTGCACGATGGAAGACAGGGGCCCCAGAAGTAAAAGTGTGGCCAGCGTCGTCCCCGCCGAACAGCCAGCAACGAACACCCCCGTTACCTGCAGAAGCTCCGACATTGCCCCGTCGCACGACAACGTTCAAAATCCCCAACAGATGGTAACGAGACCCCCATCAGAGTCTTCACATGAGAGTCGAGCTGTCGGGCCGCTGCGAACAAGTGCGAGTGCCCCACGTGCTCGCAGAACTTCGCCCAGTTCAAGAGCACGGTGGCGCTCTCCGTGCCGAGGGAGCTGCAAGACGCTGTAGACAATTGCTTACCAGCCTGGAACATATCCCTATCCCTATGCTGGGCACCTCCTCATCACGATGCCAGTCTTAGGGATTCCCTTATTTTTTTGAGGGCGAAGCCCTAACATTGTCATCGCCCTCTGGCGTGTCAATCTTAGGGATAGGGATACGTTCGAGGCTGGTAAATTGCGAGTCCAGCCTGCTGTCTCGCGCGTCTTGCTGGGCCCACTCCCCCCGAGGAACTCCGCGCTGTGAGCTCGCTCCCACTCTTGGCACCCTGGCTGCCTAAACTTGCTCCAAAGCTTCATGCAGAAGCAGAGCAATCCAATCGGTCGGTCCTCTCACTCAGGCTTCGATATTCAGCCGATGTTAGCCACCAGCTCTAAGACCCGAGACGGGTGGTCTTCGAACTTGCGAAGAACACCTGGGACCCTGATCTAGTACTCGACCGGGGGCTGGAGGACAGGCCGCGGGTGGAAGTGGCCCCACCCTAAACCAGCACCTCCTGAGCACGAACGGCACGCTTCCTGCGAGGCCTCCAGGGAGAGCGGGGGCAGGACGCACTCTCCGATGTCCCGTAGACAAGGGTCGACGGGGGCGCGGC